CCATATTTGGCCCGCAGGCCGTACTTTGAGAACCCCTGATCTACATGAACAGCTGGATAAGAACATTGAGACATTAAGAGTAAATGTCATCACTGTGTTAACGGCACTTAGCTCCATTTGTCCTTTTCATCAGATTGAGGAGAGGCAGTAGAAGTGCTGAATTAATGCCTAGCTGCAGTAATGGAGGCCAAGAAACTGAAGCTCAGTCTAGGCAAGAGAGAATACTTCATCTGTTTTTGTAAATAGCATTCAACTTTAAGCATTCCCCTTAAAGGATTAAGTTTGTAGCTTGAGAGTAGGGGGCGGGGTTCCTGGATCCATCTTTGACATTAGAGATACAAGATTTTTGTGGCACAAAGCACCTTTCCCCATCTTAGGTTATACCTCTGCTTGGATGGAGATAACCTTGTTACACTAATCCATATCCTAGTAACTTTTAGTTTAGGTTACAGCAGTGTATTATAAATGATGTTTCTCTTGAAGAAGGTTTGGAAAATTCAGTTAGTACAAAATTCTACTGTGGCAAGACTGACTGGAACTGAGTGATACAAACATATTGCAGCATTCTTTGTTATCTTCACTAGCTCCCACTTCAGATCGTTTCTAATCCCAATTTAAGTTTCTGATGTTTACATATAAAGCCCTTCATTGCTTGGGGCTGCATTAACTAAATGCCTCTTGTCTATGTTTTTGGAAGGGTTATTTTAAATTCAGGATTGGCTTTCTTACAGGTGAATATTAAATTAGCTCTGCTGGTGGCTATCATGATATTTCAACCTAATTTTAGAAAAAAGAAAAGTACTGAATATTTTACTAGGAAGAAAGTAATATTGTTTTGCTGTTGAACAAGTTATTTGGAATCTTTATAAGCTTGAGGTATAATTTTCAGCTGGTCATTTTGTTCAGCCAGGTAATCTCTCTGTAATATTTGTTTCATATTGCTCTGAATTTTGACACTCACAGTCACCTTTTGATGACATTGTATGCAATCCAGAGTGCTATGGCAGGATGGCCTTGATTTTATTTAAGCTGTGTGAAAAACAGCTTTTTTCCCCCTGATCAATATTACAGTATTTATAAAATTGAGCTATGTGATGGAGACAATAATAAATTGATTTCAGCTGAATTATGTAGATGTTTCAGCCTGGGAATATATATACTATTTCATTCCAATTGTGGGTGTGTGTGGTTTTTTTCTTGTAGGCAAAATTGGCAAAAAACTATGGCATGACACGCATGGATCCATATTGCAGAATACGACTTGGTTATGCTGTCTATGAAACTCCTACTGCTCATAATGGAGCCAAAAATCCTCGATGGAACAAAGTTATTCAATGCACTGTTCCTCCTGGGGTGGATTCTTTCTATCTTGAGATATTTGATGAGGTAAGATTGAATTGGTGGGAGGGGGATGGTATTTTAACTAATTTGGCAATGGCTTACCATTTCATGTTGGATCAAAATACATAGATTGGAAAGAATGACAGCTTTTATTAAAGTAAATTCTGATGTTTTGCAAATCATTTGTGGAATACCTGTATTTGTATTTATTGAAAAGCTGTATCAGCACTGGTTCAGCTGATTTGAAATGTAGGATTTTGATCAACAGGTTTCACGAATTCTACTAATCTGTTTGTTCAAGAAGAGTAAAAGCTTATAGTTGACAAATAGAAACTTAATGAATTTGTATTGTTTTTAACCTCTCTGTAGTTTCTCTACCACCAGTTTCTCTCACTGTGCTGCTTTTCGTATTCATACATGCAGCCCTCCCACTGTGTTGCTTCCATAATTGGGTGGCAGTTAACAGTTAATTGTAGTTGGTGATTCAAAGGAAAGTTAGGGAAGTTACTGTTAGGGCAATTATCTTGGGATCTTACCCTACAAATGTTGTTTCAGTATATTTCTCTCTATAGCACAGTGCATACAAGTCTTGCTTTGTTGTATAGGGTTAGTCCAAGTCTGGTAAGTATAATTCTTTACAGTGATTATATAGAGTGACTAATTTGTACAACTATATCCCTAAAACATGTGCCATCAGTTCTTGAGAAACTGTTAGTGAGTTGAGACAGTTCTTTGTTTCTGCTGGTCAGTCATCATTTCATGGTGCTTTTTCAAAAACATTTCTTCTGTCTCCATATATTACTGAACTTTGTGATAGGTTCAATCCAGCCTAAAGTTACTGACTTTTTAAAACCATTATAAATGAAGCAGATTTCTTGCCAATTAAAATCAGGCTTGGATAACTTAGCTTAAATTTCATTTTTTTAAATATTGGTGCAAACCGTTTACAATTGTATCTAGTTAAACCTTCCTGCCAGTGGAATTGCTTACGTCAGAGAAAAGGGGGAGAACAATTTTCCTTCCTCACAAATCTTTGATTCTTAGGGTGTACCCTGGTGAATTTTCAGAATGGGAAAAGAATTAGGTAGTTCTACTCACCCTAATTTGGAGTTTGCCCAAATTAAAGAAGATAATGGCAGAGTAGAGCAATAAAACTGAAGAGCAAATTGTTTCTATAATATTGATCACATGTGATTAATTTGAAGTATGGATTGCAGTCTTTCTGTTTCTATATCCGGTCATGATAACAGAAATAGATACTGTTATGGTACAAATTATTGTAAAACATATTCCTTCTATCTCTTTCCCTTTATGCTTTCCAAGAATGTTGGTCTTGTATCTTTGCCAAGCAGGGAGTAGATACAGTAAATACAGCTTCCTATTATCTTTACTACAGTGCTCCAGTTTTTCTCATTTACTTTTCTGAGCTTGTAATTATTTCACATGTTCCTGGGCTCAGGAGGAAGTTTCTGTAAAGCCAGCAATACTGTTGAATTCTTGCGGTGGCATAAAAATGATAGTGTTGTATGATTGCACACAGTTGGGTTTCTTAGGTTGCTATAGTAATAAATAACAGTAAAAAATATACTGAAAAGTATTTTCCAAAGCCTATAATTACCAAAATAACAGGAATTAAAATAGATAAGCAATGTTAATTGTATTATTATTTTGGGAAACTGACTTACAAAAACAATTTTTTTGCAGACACTTAGATAATATTACTTACACAAATGAAAAAAACCCTATTCCATGAGGTTTGTGGTAACTTTCATTTTACTTTTTCTTACTCTACTCAATCTGTTCTGCAAACTACACATCACTGTACTTTGCTTTATCTGAAGGAAAATAACATGCCTAAGTGGGTTCTGAAATAGGAGCACTACTTGTGAAACTAGGGGACTCATTGTGGTAAAAAGAGTATTCTGTCTTTAAGATTTACTATTTTTTTCTCTGTCAGTCATTTTCTTCTACTTCAGTCCTCTCTGAAAAATCAACAATAATACCATGAGGCAAAATATATGTTTATCTGCATATAGAAAACTAAATAGCAGTTTAGAGATTCGAAACGTCTCAAATGTCCTCTTACTTCTCCTAAAGGACTAAGTGAAGATTGCTACAGATCTTATCCATAGACACTAACATTCCCACTTGTCTTCACACTAACATTAACATTCTTGCTTGTCTTCAATAGAGATTAAAAATAAATAAAATAAAAAAAAGCCTTATTTATGCATTTACCTGCACATGGATGAGCAGAAGTAGAGATTTCTATATATTTTGAAACTTGCTTCTCAAATATATCTAGACTTTTAGGTGTGTTCAGCAACTGAATGTTTTTTGGATCTTCATGCTGAATGCATGAAGATGTGTGGATGAGTACATATAGCTGGGCAAATTAGGGCAGGAATTCAACCAGTGTGATTCATGTGGTCTAGGTTTAATTCCTTGTTTAAAAATTGAATTATGAAGAGGTTTTAAAAGTTATGTATCTGCAGCCAGATCACTTAATTTTTTTATTTTATATTTAGATATAAGTGCAGGGGCTCATTGAGTTACTAACGTTTTGCTTGTTTCTTCTTTTCATTTTGTTGATTTCCCTGGGATTTGTTTCCCTTTTAAACTTTTTCTTTTTTTTTTTCTCTCTCCTTCCTTGTGTAGTTTAGTATATTTTCTTTTTTAGTGTAGTTTTTATATAATAGGTTAGATTGGCTTTTTTAAACATAGTATATTATAAATAATTATAGTATCTAAACTGTAGCTGTAGTTGTAATGACTCATTTTTTTAAAAGGAAGGTTAATTGTATTGTTTTTAAAGCTTAATAAAGATGTTATTGCAAAAAAGGAGTGGGGAAAACCAATAATAAAGCAGATTATCTCACAGCTAGAAATCTTAATTGAATTTTAATGTATTAATCTTGAGTATGTGAGGTTCTTTCTTTAAATGAACATACCTAGTAATCCCTATCAACAGATCAGGAAGTATAGTATCAATTTCTTTGTCAGCAGTAGAAGGACATACCTTTTAGCTGAAATAATGCATTGGATTTGGGCCGCTTATAAATTCAAATATATAAATAATATATGAATTTATTTAGTTCTTTCATGAATTTGACTAGAATATGCAGTGATTAGGATGAATGAGAGGAAGTGACTACATAGGGAAGAATACATATTTTTCCCTAAATGGGAGGGGGGGGGGAAACCTGACTGTTAGAAGACAATACAGAGTAGGGTATGCATGAAACAAAAGCTAATTTTGGGACAAAGCAGCCCTACACAGAATGTTCCAATACAGTTGGCTGTGGTTCATAAAACAAAGCATAGAGCCATCTTGAGTATCCCTTTTTTAAAAATTTTATTTGGGGGGGGGCTTTGAGTCAATCTTGACTTCTGGTGACTGCCTGGACAAGACCCTGCAGTTTTCTTGGCAAGGTTTCAGGACTGGTTTGCCCTTGCCTGCTTCTTAGGGCTGAGGGAGAGTGACTGGCCCAAGGTCACCCAGCTGGCTTTGTGTCTAAGACGGGACTAGAAATCCCAGTCTCCCAGTTGCCTTAACCACTATATCGAACTGGCTCTCTGAGTATCCCATACAGAACTGTTTTTTAAGCATTTGAAGTTTTCAGCCATAGGGAGCAACAGAGATTTGAAAAGAATTCCTTTACTCTTTTTTTTAGGGCCTGAAAGTACATACGTTGATAAGCCATGCTGACTGTATCTCATACCTGACCTTCACCAAAATGACCAAGGATATAATTTTTCTTAAAAAAACAAAAACAAAAACCCTCTCAAACAAGAGAACTGTTTATAAGAACCCAAAAGGCAGATGTTGATAATGGTGATGTTCTGGCAACCATGAAATTATTTGAAGTCAAAGTTTTAAAAGCCAAAGTACGATGCCGTACAGAGCGCAGTTGTGCACTTATAACCCCAAGATTAGAGTTGTTTAATTAAAACTGTAGCATGTGTATTTTATTCAATTTCTAATCTTCTAATACGGTTAGAACTGGGCTGTATCCCCTTTGGGGCTCAGTTAAGACTCTTTTGACCCAAATCCTGGCTGAAACAAGTGATCATGAGGTTACTGCTCTTTCATGTGATCAATCATCAGAAACTTGTTCCAGAAGGAAGTAACAGCAGCAAACCTATTAATACCTGTACCCATTAAATTAGGATTTACACATTTGCTAGGGTTGCTCAAAGGCTCAAACTATTTAGGTGATGTAAATGATCTTCTAAACTATGCCCCAATTACGAACCATAATCTTAAAGTTAATTTCTTACTTGGAAAGAAATGAACCTGCTTCTGAAAAACAGGGATTTCGATTTTATGTAACTTCATCTGATCCAGCATATAGGAAAAGCAAATAGGAAATATTAATATAGGAAAAGCATCTTTTGGAAGGTATTTCTTCATCTATTTTTTTTTCTTCTATTTTTCAGAGAGCTTTTTCAATAGATGATCGCATTGCGTGGACCCATATTACTATTCCTGAGTCACTGAAACAAGGAAAAGTAGAAGATGAGTGGTATAGCCTGAGTGGAAGGCAGGGAGATGACAAAGAAGGAATGATTAACCTGGTCATGTCATACACGGTAAGCTAAGTGACAAATAGCTGCTTTAGTTGGCAGTTGAATAGCTGGATCATAAAATAATGTCCAACTGAGAGTAAAGGGGAAAGATTGTGCAGGCAGCACTTTTGTTACTAGCTAATTTATTCAGATATGATTGTGATATGGTTTCCATTCCAAAATTTCACAGAATCACCAAACTTTTATTTTCTTAAATATATAGAGTACTCATATGTATTAACAAATACAGATGAACTGATGGCAGTTTTTCTTCAAAACAGTCATGGAAAACTCATGGAAATGAATAAAATTTTGGAATTTTTAATAAGGATGGCTCTCAGTTACATATGCACAAATGGTGCACATGACATCCATTTATATCATTTCAGTAGTTTTTAGGGCATATTCTTGCACTCTGCTACTTAGATTGGTTTCTAAAATTTGAATTAACTGAAAAAGCTTTATGAGTAACATGGGACAGGTATTGATAGAGGATAATTAAGCTATGCAGTTTTCTGTATTGGTTGTATTCTTGGACACAGAAGCCTACTCTGCCTTAGCACCTTGTAGAAAACATCAAATTTAGCTATATAAATTTGCTAAATAAATAAAAATGCGTGCTTCTATTTGCGGAAGCTCTTATTCTGCCTCTCACATATTGCACAACATTTTTGGTAAACATTTACATAGTGGCTTGCAGAATAGCAGGACTGCCAGAATTTCAGCCACTCAAGCAGTTCTTCAGAAATTATTGCAGAAACTCTGTAACATTTCTCCTTTTATATTCTGAAGTGAAAGACTACCTAAAACTGCTTTAAGTTTGTCAAAAGTGATTTAAATGCATTGAACATTCTATGCAAAAGTTATATTTCCTTTAAATTATAGGTTCAGGAACATTTCCCTTAATTTTCTTGTGCACTAAGTTCTTGTTACAGAATTTGACTGATTCAAATTGTTACTCGCTATATTCAGTAATACAAGTAACTGAATTGAGGAATTTATGCAAATATTTTTCTTGCTGCCTTTGTTTTTAGCACATGTTTTGAAATACCCTTTTTCCTATTATCCTTTGAAATCCAGTCCTTGCCAGCTGCTATGATGATGCAGCCCCAGCCAGTGGTCCTGATGCCCACAGTATATCAGCAAGGAGTTGGATATGTACCTATAGCAGGTATGATACTTCAATTTTCCATTTTTAATGCACATTTTTAAAAACAATTTTCTTAAAATTTTCTTAAACATAAAGGCAGGGCAAGAGAAGCTGTGTTCTCTGAAGTAACTGAAATGTTTAATGATGAAACATAATTTGAAGCCAATAAGCATATCTGCATGTTCAAATTGTCTACAGAACTTCAGGGAGTCTGAAGCAATATTTATATAGCTATTACCTTAGTTTAGATGTAATTCTAAACTATGATGTCATACAGTGAGAATGAGCCTCAGTGGTTTCTGGGCCATTTTCTCCCATCTCTCCCCAATGCAAAGAAGAGATAGAAACTTTTATTTCCAGTTTAAATTAGCTGCAGCTTGCCAAGTTATCCCAACTTGGTCAAACTATTATTTAACTATGCGCATTGGAAGCAAGCTAGCTTCAAACTGTAGTTTATTTCCACTAGCCGTAGGGTGTATTTACACATAATGTTAAGCAGAGTGTAATGTTGATCTGTAGTTAAGTGATTTACTTGGTTTGTCCCGAGTGTCACAGCAAACTGCTAATGTGACTGAAGTTTTTGACTCCTCTCCTAAGCCCCATTTCTTTGGTATCTGAGTGGTTGTCAGAAAATAAGCTGGTCAGGAAAAAGGCCGACATGTGTTGGGGAGATGAAATTCTTCACCAGCTTCCCCCCACCCCAACCCATTGCTCAATATGCTTTTTGGATTTAAAAAACAAGCCAGAGCAGCAGAGATACAGTTGCTTGGGAGCTACTGCCAAATATTCTATGATTGGAGGCCAGAAGAAGGAGTTCAGTATTGGTCCCTCCTCTTAAATGTATTGCAGAGCTTTGGACTAGATAAATAAACCAGTTTAACATTATGATTATGGTTGTGTAAAACATAAATGAGATATGACTGACTATATTATAGAGACATCCAACAATTTAAATTTCCCTTTTTCCCATAGAGGACAGGCATATAAAAGTCTGAGGTTTGCTTTTAGCAGTAAGTTATAGTTTAATACTATGTCCAAAATAGTGATGCTATGATAGGCAGAGTGCATTCCATTTTTTCTGTCTTGCTCTTCTATGTTCAAACTGGTTCCACAGGTCCTATAGCATTTCAGTGTCTTGTTAAAGTAAAACTACTTCCCAATATTGTTGCTGTTGCATTAAATTGTTGTAATAGATGCCTGTTGATGAGACTATCACAAGCTGCCTATTTACTTTATTCTATAGTGCTGGCTTTTTCTACAACGGGAACAATTTAGATCTGTTCTAAAAATAATTGTCTGTACTATGTACAGTATATGGAAGAGTATTTGGATAGTGCAATAAAGCAGGTTATTTCTTCCTCTGTAGAATATTCTATCATTCTGAAACTTCCTAAAATTAACTAAATCAGTTGTTTACATTCTGTAATTTTCTTTCATTCTGTTAATGTTTCTGAAACTAGAAAGTAGCAGTTAAGACACAGGAAAACTAGAATAAGAGTCATTGTGCCAAAATTGTTCCTCTTTTCACATATTTTTATATAATTGTACTATACTGGATCACAGCTAGTACTGCTGTAGTGGACAGTGTCTTCTGTTGATCTTCAAAAATTATTATGTGTAACTTTGGGACTTTCTACCAAGGAGATTTTTTTTCCCCCAAGCTGTGCTTTTTCCAGTGCTACGTTCCTCTGAGGATGAATATTTTCAAAAAATAAAATTTCATGGCATGTTTCACCGATATGCAATATACTCTACTAACTTTGGATTGCCTATATAGAGAGGAACAGATGTTTCCTCTGTTATTTTGGAATGTTTAATTTAAAGGATTTGAGATTTATGTATTCTCATGTTTTCAAAACTGCTGATAGCTGTCTCTTCTCCACTGTTGTTGCTGTTGCTAATGTCCCAGCTCAGCATATCCCACTGGTCTGTCTACCCCCTCAGTCTTCCCAGAAGCTTCCCTTCTCTCTCTCTTTCTTTCTTCCTTCCCTGCCTCCCATTAAATGCTGCCTCCAATGGCCTTGGCTTTTCCATTCTTGTCCCCCCACCAAATCCACTTTTGCCTGGAATAAACAATCCCTTTCTTCCACTGTATGGACCAAAACAAGTGTGTTTCAGTTTAGGCATGAATTACTTGAAACCAGCTGTTCCATGCATGGAATTGTTCATGCATGGAATATAGGTAGTGCTTGTTTAGGGACTGGCAACTTGGTCATTAAGCAAAGCGGTCACTAAGTGAAACCACAACAGTGCTTACTATCTTACTTCAGCTTTCCTTTGCTTTACAGACCTACAAAGGTTGTAAGTGCAAGGACTGATTGTAAAGTTACTGTCCTAACTGTGAATGTCACTAAATGAGGCAGTCACATGAGGACTATCTGTATGTTGTACTTCTGAAATGAGTTTTCCTTTGAACTGGATATTTTTACAGTTACGGATTCATTTGAAAGTGTGTTCTACAGAATGATTTTATGTTTTAAGTTTCCTGTAAACTAAAATGAGGATCCAGCTAGGATGGTCCACTCCAGGCACCTGTTGGATCTTGAAGGTTTTCTGAGTGGAGTTAGGATTTTCCCAATGGTTTAGCAGGCAGTTCTGTGACGCAGCTGGTTGGAAAAAGGAAATGACCAAGGCATTGAACAAGATTGCTCTTTTGAGGCCTCTTTTTGTTTACTGATTCCAAACTGCTTCTTGTTCTACTGAGGAGTTTCAGGAGATTAAGTGCTAAAAGATATCTAGAGCGTCAGTGACACATGGTCAAAACTGATTTTGACTAAGCACTGGTACAAGCCCAAGTTCTAGATCTACAAAGTGGTAGAAAGAGTGATGAAGATTGTGTGCTTCTCCAGGTTGATTTTATCTGCAGATTCTTGCCTGGCAGTCCTGTTCAGAATAACCTAGATCTTTTTAGGAAAGGAAGGGTGGGATATTGTATCAGAGGACAGCAAGATGGGTTTGCAAGTTTCAGGTGTTGTTGGCAATTGGGTAGAGCTATATGAGGCAAATGGGGAAAATCTGGAAGAATTATAGATTTGTTGTGTTTTATGATGAGGGAATAATAGTATATTTTGTTTGTATACCGTCCTGAGCCTTGTAATAGGGCAGTATAAAAATTGAATGAATTAATGAATGGAACAATATATGTTAGTCACTTGAATTAAAAATTAGCCGATCTTGTGGCACAAAAAAGCAAATTTCTTGTGGCATAGGCTATTGGGATTTATGCTCACTTTGTCAGATAAGTGAAATGTTACCTCCAGTATACAAATAGCAACCAATTTACATCAGCAGTGCTGCCTTTCTTCAAGTATTAATTTGAGCACTTACAATCCAGAATAAGTAAAAACTAATAGAATTTACTGATAAATTTAACCCACTTCTATTTTGTTCTCAAGAAAACTACATGGATGTATCCTTGAGATCAGGAAATTGAACCTGAATCTAAGAAGACTAACTATTCTAGTTTATCTAGACCTTCTTTATAAAAGCCCAGAACACATCAAATCTTTTAATTCTGAGATGATATAAGACTTCATTAGCATGATGTTAACCTTCATTAGCATGTTTTTAACCTTAATGTACATATATTTTAATTTACCTTTATGTATTGTGACATACTGGTGTAAAACATGTCTATATTCTGTGTATTTTCCATTCAGAATCATGCTTTGTTATCTGTTCAACTTTTGAGCACTTTACCTACCACATAAATTGCTTCAGGTTCCTGCTCTCATTTTTGCAGTCCCTCCCTCTGTTCTGAAGCCACTATATTTTTGGTATGCAGGGTGCCACTATGTTTCCAAATAGGAAATGAGATGCAACATCTCACTTTTTGCTTGGAGCAGTGTGGAATAAATGAAAATCTCAACTTAGATTCTGTTTTTGACTTGACTGGAGCTGCTACTAAAGTGATTTTGCTCAGGAACTGGTCCCAAAGTATTGTATGGCTATTTACTTAAGCACCTTATATTTTAGGGACTGCAGAATTACTCTGTAGGTATCTGTGATACTATCAGATTGACCAGAGCAATTTAAGATTAACCTTTGTTAATTCCAGTTGAAGAAGTTAACTACTTGTTAATGAAGTAACTACATCTTACATAAGCAATAGTTTCTTATTAATTCATAGTTGTCCATTTAACTTAAAATATGTCCTATAGAATGTAGAAGGTAAGGTCAAACAACAATCTTCCCTTCAATTACTTTAATATCTCTCTTAAGATAAAAACACCATATCCATGATACTTATTTCAAGGGAATTCAGATCTAGCAACTAGTAATTTTTAATAAGGACAAAAACTTACACATTTCAGAAGTTTAATTACAGAGTCATTAAATGTTTGCGGCATATTTCAAATTATCTTAAGCGTCTCAGAATAATAAATCTCATTGTCAAAGTTATATTTTATTGGGATCTACAAATTCCCTTTTGGCTCTTATTTAATAATCAGAAACTTGACGTATTTATGCCAAATGTTATACACAATTGTCCTGTTTTTTTGCTATTTATTAAATTCAATATTGGTATAAAATGATGTGTTTAGAAAGGTTCACAAATTTTGATAACTGTAGATATGAATATAATGTACAAGTCATATCTGACAATATCGTTGCAGTCTTTTTTTTAATTCATGCATTTGTCATATCCCTCTGTTACAGCAAATGATAATGCAGGTCCTATCTAACTAAAATAGTTGACTGCAGTCTAAATTAGAGTAAAACAACAAAGAATCTTGAAGCACTTGAAACTCTAATGCATTTATTTTTGGATGAACTTTTGCACTCTGCATTCCATATCAGTATTGAAAAGTTATCTTGAGCTGGGATATAATCTTTTTGGAAATTTCCCAACATAAGACTGATATGCACGCAGTACAGGATCTTACCATTTTTGTTTACTTTTTCTTCTGTTTTAAAAAGTTAATATATGTAATGTGGTGGGTATAAAATTATATTGTTTGGCATTTATGAAATCTACAAAATGGTTCTCTTAATCTTTTACCTAGAAGTAAGACCCATTG